AAATCTAATCCTTACAAACCAACTTTTGAACATCAAAAACTCAAAATCACCTTAACAGTGCCGTTAAGCAGCTGTAGAGGTCAGCTAATATTCTAAGTACAAAACAAGTGTACTGTAGAACAAAATTAGTTAATCAAAATTCACCTATGAGAAGTACCTTAGGATCAAGTAGAATATTCCCAGACAAGGTGGGATCAACAATTCTGTCCACAAGAATTACCCATTACCACCAATTCCCTCAGAGAGTTTAAGGCCAGTATCACCTTCATTCACTCAAACAAAATCATACAGTCACAAAGAGAAGCATTCATATTATAGATTAATAAAGGGACAAAGACAAATTACGAGGATCATATCAGCATATAATATACCAACATTACGAAGATGACATACACTATAGTAGAAAAATGGATAATAATCCTAAAGAATTTCATACAGTGATTCCCTTTTATAAAATTGAACAAAGAGAGAAGAAACATTGGCACAGAATAATCTGGATCCATTTTAACATGTAGCATGTGTTACCTCCAACTGTGTATACCAATTCACATGTATCTGCTGGAGCAGTTACATTGGAAGAAAAGAGAGGAGGGCCTACGTCAGATTCTGCGAACATGTACCAAGGAGCCTCCGGTTAAAGAGACCGGGTTATTTAAGCTCTTCAATCGCCAAACATCTGATTGACACAGGACACAGAGTAGATGTAGATGGAATTATTCAAAATAATTAACAGACAAAGTACCTCAAGTCTTCTCAGGTTTGCTGAAGCTATAGCAATAAAACGATTTAAGCCTGACTTATGTATCCAAAAAGAATCCGTCGTTGGACTTCAATTACCCTGGTAACTGACTTCTTAGTAACTCTTTGTTTTCTAATTTTGTTAACTTATCTTTTCACTCCGCCCCTCCCCTTTATGTTTCTCTTGACTCTCTTAACAGATAATTTTTCTTGATCTTCTGAGTTCTGCTCACTGTATTACATCATCAACTTCTCATCTGACCTCATGTGCACCGTAATTAAAAAAAAATTTTGATCTTCTCTTATCTAATTACGCGACTGTTGCTAATTGTCTTTTGTTACCACCTTAACAACACAACTGTTAACTAATTTTTTCAAGAAACTTCTCTCTACCAAGATATATGTATGTCGTGACACTTTAGACACCCTGTATATCTCAATGCCTTATTTTACTATAACGCTGTGACACTATGCTTGCTAATGGACAGAGGTTTGCTAAAAAATTGTACACTATTTATTTTTAATTAAAAAATTCAGGTTGTACGCAGCTGATGAGAACCAACGAAATAAAATGGATCCAGATTATTCTGCGCCAATGTTTCTTCTCTCTTTGTTCAAATAATCCTAAAGTTGGTCGAGACATAGAAATAAGTACAAATATTGTGATTAGATCATCGAGGAGGGGGGACTTTTCAAGCAAGTACTCCTTTACACCTTGTCCCACACTCTGTATTTCTGTTTTATGATTTGCTATTGGATTGAATGAAGCATACTGTATAGTCATCCTGTAAGAAAGTTTCTCTCACACCTTAATATTTCCACTTACAGTTAAATTTTCACTCATACACAAGAAAACTAATATTATTATCCTCTATTTTAATTCAAATACATGAATCATCAGTTATATGTCAAATGAAATTTCTTCAGTTTTGTAGCAGTGTTACTCAGTAAACAAGGACAAACATACAAAAAGTAATTTGAAGAGTTCAGTTGATGATGACAGAAACCGCATAGATAATTTTCTGGTGAAGTCCAATAAATTATTATATTTATTATTGTTTCCTTTAATTCCTAGAGGAACATAGGGCTTCAGCCAAACGTCTCCATTGCGTTCGCTTCTCTGCTACAGTATTCACCTGGCTCCAAGTCTGCCCACACGCTTTCATCTACTCTTCACATCATTCCCTCCAAGTCACCCACCCTCGCACTGACGACCAACTCGCCGCTTCCCTTTCGGGTTCCACTCGGGTGATGGCTTGTCTAGTGATGTCACTTGATGGTTGGTTTCCTCAGAGTATGGCCAGCCAATCCATCTCCCTCCATTTCTTCCTGCCTATTTGTTTCACAATCGGTTCCTGCTGAATTGGTTCGCTCCCAGAGATCCCTGTTGCTGATCTTTTCTGGCCGGCCATCTGATCTTGAGCGAAGTATTGAGCGAAGACAACTGTTAATGAAGGTCTGTAGTTTGTTTGAGATGCTCTTCATGACGTGCAGTGCAAGTCTCTGATCCGTATGGTGAGTAGCACTGACTTCACATTGGGTAAATATGTGACACATTTTGCCGGTGTTACTCTACTTACTCATCAGAAAGAAGCTTTATCCCTTGGACTTAAATTCTGTATTCCTCGTATGCAGTTCACGGATTTAGCCAAGCATGCTGAGTTCGAAAACTTCTACCAAAAAAAACCCCAATGTCTTGTTGCAACATCCGATGAGCATCGGATTGGTTGGTTTAAAACCGAAATGCTGGTTTTAGCCAACCAGTTTTCAAACAGCAATCCTAAAGAGAAAAGCTTTTTAAATTCCCAGCATTTAAAAGCTTTGAAAGAGCTACGGGAAAACCCTAATATAACAATTACGAAACCTGATAAAGGTTCTGGAGTCGTCATCATGAATTAAAAGTTACTACAAATCCAAAATGTCATCTATTCTCGATGATAGAAGTCAATTCAGCCGTGACCACTCTTCAGAAGGTATTTAGTTGTTGTAAGGCATAGTGACAGATAATCTAGTGAAGCTTCTTGGCCTAAGTGCTATAAGTAAAGAAACATTTGACTCTTTAAAACCATCTGAATGCGAATTTCCGCATATGTATGGTTTACCAATGACACACAAACCCATTAATCCTCTGCGTCCTATATTGTCCATGTCCAAATCCCCAACATATAAACTTCCTAAATGGTTAGTAGAATTATTTCACCCAGTTAAAACACAATTCTGTGTGTATTAAAATACACATTTGAACTGATTAATTATCTTGATGATATTAAATTATGAGTAAAAAGATGTACTCTTGTGATGTAAACTCGTTATTCACTAATGTGCCTTTGCTCAAAACAGTTGACATTTTGTGTGATTACATTTCCACATATAACTCTTTCATCCTATTCCCTATACCCTATTTGAAGGATTTATTACTTCTATGTACTGAAAATGTTAGATTCACATTTGAAGGCGATTACTTCTGTCAGGTCGGTCGATCGTGTCACTATGGGAAACCCGTTGGGGCCTGTTTTAGAAGGTATGTCGAAGACATTGTAATTATAAGAGATAAGCATTGTTCTGTCACCTCAGTCTTAAATCGAATGAGTGAAGTTCAGAACAGCATATCAACTACGCCTGTAGAAGAGGAAGATAATTGTTTATCTTTCCTGGATATATTGATTAGTCGACGATCTGGTGGATCAGTATAACAATCTATTTATAGAAAACATACATATCTAAATTATCACATTTTCTGCCCTGTTTGGTACAAAAGAGCCTTAGTGATTAGGTTGCCTACTCAGTAGAATCCAACGAATATGCATCGAAAACACACTTGATCAGGAAGAAAGAAAGTTGACACAAACTCTGGTTGATAATAATTATCCAGACAAGTTCATTAGGAGATATGAATTGGTCGGAACACCAAGACCCACTCCTCAACTCTCCACTAAGAAAGACGTTTATATCAGACTACCCTATATGGATGATCATATCAGCTTGACAACTAAACAAAGATTGAACACTGACATTAAAAAAGACCTCACAGGAAGCTAAGATCAACATAACTGAAGATGGGAAGCCTATGCATACATCTAAGCCCTTAGAACATGAGAAAAATGATGTCACATCTCACTGTATTTACCAATTCAAATGTACGTGTGGACACATATATATATTTAGGGAGGAATCATCGATCTCTGCTGTTAAGGGTTTCAGTGAATATTCCTAAATGGCTTCGGAAGCAAATGGAATCCCTAGAACCCATTAATGGTGAAGACAGGTGACCCAGCTCCTCTATTGAGAAACACATTATAGAGACAGGGCATACAACTGATGTTTACATGTCTTTTAAATTCATCTGTAGAAGGTGTTTGAGGAGTATTCTAAAGTTTGTGGAAGCCCAATCTGACAATTAGGAAGTTTAAACCACCTTTATGCGTTCAAAAACAAACCTTCCTTGGTAAACTTTGTTTCGATACCAGTGTAGATGTACAATTACCTCTGCTATTTGGTTTAGTGATCTTCATTGTTATTTTGACTTTCATTGTGTCCTTTTAACTTGATCCAAGTCTATTCTCTCACCTCTTAACTCTTTATTATTTTCACATGTATACATCTTCCTACGACAAGTCCTTGTGTGATCAGATTGTTCGAAATGTGTTGTGCGGAAATACATTACACGATTCAGACAAACTGCGTCTTTTTACTGCTTTGTTTAAATTCAAATATGTGTATATAATTGTACAGGTACGGAAATGAAATCATCGGAAAGAGAATTTTCTTCGCTGAAATCTTTGTTTTGTATCTCATTGGGGATCATTAATTAATTAATAGAAGACTTTATGTAATATATGATAACATGAAGAGGTTTTTATTGTTATTTTCATAAGTACAGATATACTTAACTTTTAGTTAGTTTGATTGATGTATAGAAAAACAAAATTTGAGTTAATTACAGGAGGTGCACTCTGATTAGTCAACTGAGTTTACACCTGAAGGTCATCAGATAACCAATCAAATTTCAGACAGAGATTTATTAAAACAAATATATATGTACATTGAATGGAGCATTAATTATTGAATGAATTCTATTAGTCCAGTTTATCATTTTTTTGATTTCGACTTTTTTTGATTATCATCAATTACGAATTTTATGATTTGAGGAATACTTCATCCAAAGCTATTATTATTATTAATAATAAGAATAATACAAAAACTAATAATAATAATCTTCGAAAATTCTATCCACAAAAATATTCGCTTGTATTAAACGGATTATGGGGAGTGGTACATCAGCACTAACACCAAAAGTGATTTATTTTTCAATCAATGGAAATATTGAAAGGGTAATTTGTGAAAAAAAGCAATTAAAAAAAATGTACTAATCTCAATCTATAGTTGATGATCTCATTGTCATGTTCACATTGTGAAATTCACGAGTTATTATGCCTTCTGTCAAATGTTCCAAGGTAAATCAAAATTGCATATATGAAACAGATGATAGATTTTTATCCGATCTGTTAACTGGCTGTTTTGATTTCATTTGTTTTTGGGTTTTCCTTTCTATTTTATTTTTGTTTTAGGTCGTCTCATGTGATGATCACTGATGTGAATGGATTAAATGTGCCTTGTTCAGGTTCAATGCCAGCGAATACATATAAGTAAGTTGATCGCTATTAATATTATTATCTGTTTTGATAATAATAATCATTATTATTACTGTTATTTGACCGGAACATAGAACTTCTGTTTTTCTCCCCACACGATCTGCTCTATGTCACCCTTGGATCCGTGTCAAACTCACATTTCTCACTCCGACCGAGTCCAACAGACTACTTGGAGTCTGATTTCATCCAACGGTCTCCACAGTATATGTCAAATTAATCGCCATTTCTTTCGGCATATTTCTTGGGTGATAAGTTCTTGGTTGGTTTACTTACCTCCAGTTCTTTCCAACTAGACAACTGATCTTCAGTATTGAGATAGCGAAGGCAGCTCTGTCTAAGCTGTTGATGAAAGTCTGCAACTGCCTTTTTTGCAAATGCTTCTCGGGGTTACGCACACCAATTTCTTTAACCATATAGAAGCACTGATTAACTTGAATCTTGTTCTTCATACTGAGTGCAACAGTTTCCTACATTGATTTGAGAAGAATGAAGGTTTGTCTTGCTTTTCTGCCTCTTTTTGGCTTTGGTATCCTCATCTAAATTGTCACCTGTAGTTGAAACGGTGTTGCCCAGATCAGGCAAGTGAAAGTGGTGACCTTCTGTTTATTGATTTTTAGCATTTGTGGTGATTGGCACCTGCTGCCGATTGTCAGGTTTCTTCATGACCTTTATGTTCCCTGGCAGTCCTTTCTACACTGCTTTTTCTGCCCAGTTATCAATTGTTTGCCTGCATATCTTTGACTTTATGGAATATTCGATATAAATTATTCGTGGACTTCAGATCTTCTTCTCTGTTTTCAAGAAAGGAGAGGAGTAACAATAGTGATGAGTTATCGTAATCATAGTTCTCAATATTAGCCAATACACCAGAGGAGTTGAATCAGTGTATTAGTGTTACGTAATAAAATGAGTGATTTAGTCATTGATTGGTAGTCAGGATGCACATAGAAATGAATGGAAAATACTGAATCATGTAAGAGTGCTAAAATCCTACATTCAAACGTCAAACGGTGTTGGAAAAGCAAATCAAGTCAGTAGAAACACCAACAAGGTCGTTACCATGATAGTGGAATTGGTTATATAATTTTCTTTTGTATGCATAACTCTGGTTTTTTTAACTGAATAGCTAAAGCTTCAGTAGTGCAAAGGAGTTGGAAGTGTATTGGGTTAGGCAAATCGTTTTTTACTTTGTAGATTACTTTGAAGGAGGTCTTTATTGAGATGGATTGACCAGTGTTGTCAACAGACGCCTTCTGCAAAGTAATCTAGAAAGTGAAGAACAATCCATCAAAAAATAATACGCGTTCGTCTCGTTTGCATTTCCTGTTGCTGCAGCCATTTTCCATCGATACAAAAATAGTCCTTATCTTTCGGTTTCAAAAGTTATCACTGGTCTAATGATAAAATCCCGTGTATGCAGTAGACAGTATCTGAAGCAAACATGATGTACATGTTACTGCAACAGCTGCCTTCGCTGGTTCCAGAAAGGACATAATTCTCCTTTCTGAAAGGAACTCTAACAACAAACCAACCACGAATCTATCCATTCCAGGATGACTTGAAGGGGATCGTGTGAAGAGGAACTAACTAACAACTTGTGGGTAATTGTGGAGTCAGATTAAAAAAAAGAGATTTCTGAGAATGCGGTGGAATTGAGATGTTCTGATGAAGCTGTAGGCCCCACCTGAAACCCGAAGGAATAATTACATTTGTAGAAAATTATATTTGTAAAATCTCAGCGAGATTGAAATGAGTAATTCCAACGTTTCGTTCGGCAATCTGGTCCGAACTTCTTCAGGGAAATTAATCGAAATTAACATAACAGACGTTTATATATAAAAGGAACATCACTTGTTTTTAAAAGTTTGTCCAATCATGAGTCATTCACTCGGCGCCCAAATATTTTAGAACTATTCTGTCAAATCTTGATGACAGTTCATTTGAATTATTTTGCTATCGAATTAAATTAACAAAGAAACTGTATAACTGGCACAATCATCGTGTTTTCACTCTCCGTTGTCTGCAACAGAATGCATATCCCAAATCCGTAGCTCTCGAGTCATCTGACAACTCCAGTAGGTCGAATAAAGCAGCTCAATCTTCAGAAAGAAGACAAAGCAATAAGTCCGACAGGGTGCTTCAACTAAACTCTAATCGTAAACACCATAATTTTGAAAATACGTCTAATCATAAAATTCTAGATACTAGCAGTTTGAACAGACATGAAGGCGTGATGTTAGCTGATGCATAGGAAATCCTGATTAATAAATAAAAAAATGGATATGTATCACTAATTATTAAAACTTGGTCAAAATTCCCGACTGTCTATGTCATCTTATGGAGACGTTAAGAAATGTTTTACGACTGTTTACCCACACACACATACACACTCTGTTTAAAGTGTTTAACAAAGGTAGACCAATATTTTTAAGTCCGAGGTCAAACTCTGATCACAGCTCATAAAATTTTGTTTATTATACTAGTTGATACTCGTTGAATGACTCATGATTGGACAAAGTTTTTAAAACAACTGATGTTCCTTTTATATATAAACGTCTGTTATGTTAATTTCGATTAATTTCCCTGAAGAAGTTCGGACCAGATTGCCGAACGAAACGTTGGAATTACTCATTTCAATCTCGCTGAGATTTTACAAATACAATTTTCTACAAATGTCTACTTCTTCTGTCAAATTTTGACGACACTTCATTTGAATAGTCACATTACATTACTTCTTGATTAATGTGCTTAGTTGGGAACTATTCATGTCCAGTTGTAGTAGTATTTGTTAACCAGACCAAGACGACCTGAACGTCGAATGAGTAACAGGGAAGATTTTATCGAATCATTTAAGCTGGTATTGTTTGTTCAGAGGTAGTCGAGTCATTCGTTGAAATTTTTCGTTTCTAAGTGCTAAAAGGTCTACGGATTTTAATATTGGTTGATGAGATCTAAGGTGGTATAGCGGTTAGGAAACTCGCCGACCATGCACATGGTCCGGGGTTCGATCCGCGGCCGGCGCACTCCTTTACCTCACTAAGCCAGAAATAAAGCTGGTGAAGAGGAAAGGTTGGGCGTGAGGCTAGCAACCCCATCCTGTAAAACTAAACACTGCTACCGAAACTTCAAGACTTTAGCTTGAAGCCCTATGTTCCACTGGGAACGTGAAGGAATAAAAAAAAAAGTTGGATGGGAGAAATATACAGTGCTCATTCAAAACGTCTACCTTTCCGAATAGAAAACAAAACACGTGGTTCAGCGAAGAGTCTCTTTTCGGTGAATTCATTCACTTAGCTGTACAATCGCACTTATATACACACTTATTTTTGTATGCGTGTGTACATTAGGAAAATATGGAATTATTTAAGAGCTTCACAAATTACAAGTGTTATAAGGAGTTAGAAGAAACAAGCACACAAATATCAAGTCACAATTGTGGTCAACACAGTTATTACCATTATAGTAGAAGTGGTTGGATGATTTTCTTTTGTATACATAACTCTGGTTCCACCAACTGAATGTCTACGGCTTCAGCTGTAAAAAGGAGACAAAAGCGTATTACCTTTGGTAGGTTATTCTTGACTCTGTAGATTACTTTCAAGGAGGCATTTGTCGAGAGGGCATAGCCAGTGTACACAAGGTGTTTGATTATAGCACGCACTCCTTATACAGCCACTACTACCTTTCTGCAACCATGCGGGAGAGTGTTCTTGAAACCTTTTGGATAGGATAAGCGTCGAACGACGAATGCGCCTAGCTACACAGTAACAGATGAACTATTATAAATGCATATAGAAGTGAACATATGAGACAACTTGTTCGAATTGAATAGGTCATCCAATTTTTGACTGAGGAACTTGGCGTTAGACTAGTAAAACAGGTCTTCATCAATCAAAAGTTTACACCATTCATACTACATATACCTCATCAAACTCAGAATTTATACGCTGTATTTTCCAAAAATATATCACTAGAATTATAAGCTTTAGATAACAGTTAGGTAGAACAGAAAGCATTGATTTGTTAGAAACTAAAATAAAGCGGCAGGTCAGGTGTAAGGAAAAATACTCGCCAAAGACATTGGCTAATGGTCGTGCTATGTCGTGAATTAGCAGAAGTTGGAATTCATAGGGTTGATCGGGTCCCAGTGGCTTAATGGTCTACGAGCTGGCTCGCCTTGTGACCGGAAGGTCTTGGGTTCGAACCCCCTGTGGTGGGTGCGTACTGACGAATAGTCCTACACTAGGACTAAACAACTGTCCAGTACTCCCTGCAGGTTTTCAAGTGGTTCTCTAACCATCATAAGCTCATGATGAAATGCTGTAACCAGTCAGTCAAATCCCTACAAACCAATACTAAATAAGTAATTTGTGTGACGTAGGGATTGAACAGAACTCAGTAAAAACTGAACAAGCGTCAGGTTCAGGTAAGTGTCATAAGAAGTAGAAATATAATAGAGAGGCCTGCGTAAGGAGAAATTTTCGATTAAAAACTATTAAATTAGGATTAGTGGAAATTATGTATTTATTATTAAGACAAACCAAGTCTGTTGTAGGTTCACTTACTAAAAAAACGTCTTCTGTATGCAGAGTTCAGGATTTAACATGTGGATTGTCATAGCTTCAAGCGTCGGCGGCACATTGGTTAGTACGCTCGCCGACCATGCACATGGCCAGGGGTTCGATCCCCGGCCGACGTACTCCCTTACCTCGCTAAGCCAGAAATAATGATGGTGAAGAGGAAAGGTTGGGCATGAGGCTAGCAACCTCATTCTGTAAAAATAAACACTGCTACAGAAACTTCAAGCCTCTATCTTGAAGCCCTATGTTCCACTGAGAACGTGAAGGAAAAAAAATTGTCATAGATTCTGCAGTTCAAAGAAGCCTCAGCTTTACTCCTTTGGCAAGATTTCCACATAGTCTTCAGATGGCTCGAAAGTCGATTTGAGGCCTTCGGATGGCGTCAAGAATCCATTAATCTGATTAGCAAACACTGAGTAAAGTCGAAACTGTATTTTAATTTGCATGCTTTTCATAGCGCGCAAGGAAATGACGATAAAGTATGTCTACAGATTAAATCCTATTCTCAGTTCAAAAATCATACAGTTCAGGTTGAATATTCACCGGCAGTTACCTATGGAGACTGGAAATATTTAGATCACAATATTGAATAAGCGTAGCAAGCATAAATGCATCTTGTTGTATTACTACGGATTAGTTGACATGAGCAACTAGACCATTCACACCATTCACACTTATGTTGGCTTTCTTGTTTATCACTCGTGGTATCAATCGGATCACATCCACATATATGTTGTTTTTCCTAGGGGATTTGTGGTAAATTCATATCACGAACTACTGTTATTCCCTTAGGTCACTAGCGGAACACAGGGCTTCAAAAGCACATCTCTATTCAATGTGGTATTCTTCAGTCCTCTTTAGCCGCTTCCTCTTCACCCAGTCTCCTATATGTCTCCTTTGGATCCACCACGCTCAACCCTCCATTTCTCATTTGAGTTCAACTCCAGGGCTTGTCTGGCACGTGATGTCAAGCAACGGTCTCCACAGCCTGTGTCCAATCCAACCCCATTTCCTTCAGCATGTTTCTTGGCCAACGGGTTCTAACTAGAATAGCGTGTAAATGACGAATATAGTCCTTTATAAATATTCTCTACTCACCCAAGTAGCTAGCTGTAATTCTCATGGTTTGAAGTGATTCCGCTCTTTGAACTGAGTTACACCGCCGATGCACTTAGACCTATAAAAGAGTGAAACTGCAGTCCATTGACTAGGGATCACTTTGATGATCTGTCTAGCAGGCAGAGTGGTTTTCAACTACTCGTAATCATAATCAGTAATATGTCTTATTATTACTATGGATATTGTAGATTATCAATGCATCATTTTATTTCTAAAAACCACATGCTTCTCTATGGATTATCAAGTTTTTTAGATTCAGCTATCGGCATAGTCTTTCACTCATATATGTATGTATAGGTGTTTGAGTGTGTATGTGAAAATCACAAGTAAACTCAGTCATATGCTCTCAGTTGTGTCAGTTAAACTATGCGATTACGTAGTTTCATCAATGAATTTATCGTTGAAAATCCAATATTTACGAATTCACAGGTAAATCACTTGAAACCATGTATATGTATACACAAAATAATCATAATGACGTATATGCGTGAGTACAAGCTTGAATTACGTAATAATCATGGAGAAAAATGTTGTCTCTTTTATTATTATTACTATTATTATAAGTGTTACAGATGTTATTCTCATTTCCTTCTTCATATACTTTCTTTTTCCTGTATGCATTCTTTCTTTTAGTACACCATATACTGTGACAGTTGTGCACAGTTCAGAACCGAGTGAAATTAGCCTCATTGCTCGTATGTTTGAATCGCTGACAGTACAGTTAAATGAGTAATTCTGTTTTATTTTTTACCATTTATTACTTTTATTCATAATTATTATAAATAATTATTATTTTATTCATTTGCAATCCCTGTGGAGCCTAGGGCTTCAAGCTTTGAACTTTGACTTTTCAGTAAATAGGATGTTTTATGGGGTAGATTGGAGGTCTCTAACCTCACACCCAACCTCCCCTACTTATTTGGCTTACTACTACCGGTTATGCGAGGTTTAAGAGTTCATCGTCTAAGGGTTGAACCCTGCAGCGAATTTAAACTTTAAGTACCAAAATGTAGCAAATGACAAGTAAATTTAAACTCACGAATCACCTGAAAAAAGGATTTATACATAGAAAATAAATAAATGTATAGGGAAGACTGGCTAATTCACTTGAAATGAAAAATAAACTAAATGACATTCAACTAGAGAATGATGAAACAATGGTTAGTTTTGATATAACCAGTCTTTATACTAACATACCAATCAATATGGCCTTAGAAGCAGTTAAAAAAGAATTAACTGCAGACCCTGAACTCACTTATAGGACGAGACTACCCATTGATGAAATTATGTTAGGAATTCAGTTATGTCTCACATCTATTATCTTTGAATTCCAAGGCAAAATATATAGACAAACTGAAAGTGTAGCAATGGGATCACCAATATCCCCTATCGTAGCAGATATATTTATGAACAGTTGGGAAAATATGGCACTTAATACATTTAATCCTACTCCAAAAATATGGTGGAGATATGTGGATGACACTTTCACAGTGTTAAAAACAGAACATATCTCTAGCTTCTTGACACACATAAACTCAATAGTATAGGGAGTAAAATTCACATTTGAAGCTGTAAATGAACAACGAGAATTAGCGGTGATGTTAGATTGTAAAATAAAACGAATAGAAGAAGGTAAACTACACACTAGTGTTTATAAAAAACCAACGCATTCTGCTAATAGATATTTAGACTTTAATTCATCTCATCTTTTAACTGTTTAGGCAGGCTTAGTTAATTGTTTAACAAACCGAGCAATGGCACTAAGTAGCACAAAAAAGACCTAAATGATGAAATAAAACAGATAGAAGAGGCGTTGGTTCTAAATAACTATCCTTTAAAATTCATTGGGAAGATTGAAAAAGGCCAAAAGAAGAATAAAAATAATTGTGAACCTAGTAATAATAAAATAAATTAGACAGAATATAAGTCATCTACAGTTATACCATATAAAGAGGGGACATCTGAGACCCTACGTAGGATTCTAAATAAAGCAGGAATTAGGATGGCGTTTAAACCTACAAACTCACTCAGGGACAAGCTCTATGGGTTAAAGGACCCAGTGGACCCAATCAGACAAAATAATATAATTTACAAAATACCCAGCAATGACTGTGAGGTCAACTACATAGGTCAAACTGGTAGGTCAGGGGTAGTCAGATTGTTGGAACATAAGAATTTAGCTAAGGTAAGAATGGTTGACCCAGAGAAGATAAGTAATTTAGAAAAAAGCTCGGCAATCGCAATGCATGCATTAACACACAACCACACAATAGGGTGGGAGAGGGTTAAAATTCTAAAAAGTAATCTAGGTAGGTGGAGAGAGAGGTTGATTACTGAATCTTTGTTCATCTAGTCTACACCCAAAACATGCAATAGGAATGATTCATCAATCATACCCGAAATATGGAAAATATTACTACCAATCAAATCAAGTGAAAAACAACGGAGCTATATAAATGAATTTAGGAAGTCGTGTGATTACCTTGATATGATGAAACGTCATCAGTAAATATTACTGTATAACACTGTGAGACTTTATCAAAACAAAATTTACCCATAATGAAATTACGCTCTACCACAGTGCCCAAATTTTATTCTGATATCAAGTAATCAATAAAAAAGGTATGAAACTGTTGCACAGGATACCTTTCTCCAATATGTCACGAAAATACCACTCAGATTTTGTATTGGCTTCTCAACGGTGGAATTAAACCTCATTCTATACATGAATTCGTCTAGATGACTGTAGATGATGTCCTTTTTTTGAGATCCATTAGTAGCTCTGAATCTGTTCTCTTCAACTCTCCCGGAAATTCTTGAATGGGATTGTTGTGGGTGACTGTAGTGGGATCCATAAAACTTTAGGATGGTTTACCCTGTCATGAGTATAACGAAGGGATGAAAATAAATTATATCCTTTCCATTCATCGCTGTGTATTATAAATTCCGGTATTGATGAAATTGTAGACTTTCGATGAATCTTTTCCGTAAGTTGGTATCATACAATCCAAAGAACCAAACGTTATTAGCATTTTCACGAGCTTGGTTGTATGACATCTTTATCAGGAATCTTTCATCTATGTGAACAACAACATCTCTCAGTGAAGAAGTTCGTCTCTCCGTCTTCCACGATGATATTATTTATTTATAGTGCTGATACCAGTGAACGGTTTCAGCAGATGTAGGTCTTACAGCATATTTTAATACCCGGTAATTGCGAATTTATGAAATGTGACTGAATGAAAGGTGTGAAGTAACAAAGAATTTTCCTACGAAATAATACAATCATCAGCTTACCTTCTGTCACCCTGACTCAACTCAGAAAAAACTTCACGAAATTGAACATGTCCATCAACAGATCTACTGAAGGTTTTTATACTCATTATTACCTCCAAAAGAACAAATCACATCTAAACAACACTGGAACACTCCACATACACCAAAATTTCAGACAGGCGTCTGTTAGAGTAGGCATTTGACTTGAACCAAGCGGAATAATATCCTGAATTCATGTGGGGAATCTGATTGCTCAATTGGTTTGGTAGCACTGCTTTGGTACTTTTTGGTGCCTAGAGTTTAGCTTCGGCAACTCTGGTTCAGATGCATGATTACTGACGACTATTCTACAGCTGAACAACTATTTATTTCATTGTGATTACCTAATAATGGTTTAGTAATAATTCTTATAGTGAAATTCAGAAGAGAACTTGTTAGCGAACAATATTATTTTCAAGATAGATTTAGTCGCGCAATGAAGTCTATCTGAGACTTACTGGGACCGTGAAACCTCTGAACAGATGGGTTTCTTTATTCTAGTTTGCAAACTGTTCAGGCATACATACCGATGATCCTACCTTAGATCGAAACCCAAGACATTCAAATACTCCTTTGTAATTAGTGTTGTTCTCGACTAAATCTCCTCCATTTACATAGATATATTAGGTGAGGAACAATTTATACTCCAGTGGAAATTAGGGGAAAAAGGTCTCTCTTTTTTCACTTCATCTGAACAGTACTGTTTCAAAGTAGAAGTGTGTTGCATGAATGATGATATCAAACCCAGTCAGGATAACTCAAATAAAAAAGGGCGTTTATTCCTCTGAAATCAGTGTGGAGATCCACATCACTTAGCACAAGAAATTAGATCTAAATTTTCACCAATAATTTCAAGTCAATCAGTGCTTCTATATGGTTAATAAACTTGGCACGCTTATTATCTAGCTTCCTGCAGACTATCATGATCAGGTACCTTCACTCACTAATGAAGATTCGATGAGTAGTGGGAAAGGATAAGCGACAAGAAACTCTGACCAGCCACCTATCTCCCAGTGGATGTACACAAGGAGGTGGAAATAGATGGATTGGACATACTCTGAGACCGCTGGGTGATACCACACACCAAGCTATCGCTCGAGTGGAACCTGGAACCTGGGAGACTGCGTCAGGAGGAAATGAAAGCTGAAATGCCACTCTTCACTAATAATGCTCTTTTAGCTAACCATTTTAGGCTGCTCCACACCCAACTGCATTTTATTGGAAATGTTTTTTTTAAGATTTACTAATGAATCCGAAAAGTATTCATCAATTTAGAATGCAATTATCACATACGAAGTGTATCCAGTGAATACAATTACGTTTTTTTTCATTGTTGAAATTTACTCCCTTTTCTAGTACTCTGAAAATTACTGATCTGAAAAATGAATTTGCAGATCGAATGCAGCTGTTAGAAAAACGAATGGTTGGTAAGTAAGCATATACAGTTTCCTACTCTTTCATGTCTATTGATTAAGGATAGCAGTTATTATTACAATTCCTCCATTACGTTTCGAGTGAGAAAGTAGGATTTCATCGGAACACCTCCATTCCTCTCACTTCTCCGCCATCATTTTCAACTGGCTCCATGACTCAATAGAAGCTTTCTTTCCCTATTTGCATGTTTTTCTCTGTAATACTGTTGGATCCATACCCAACTGGTTGTTTCCCAATTCGGGTGCTACTCGAGGGCCATGCCGTAGGATTTCACTTGAAAGTCTCCTTGGAATACTTATCTATTCTATCTCCATTTCCTCGTGCATATTTGTTGGACCATAAATAAGTGATTGACTGAGTCATTATGAGAGTTCCTTGTTGCTAACTTATTCTTTCTAGCTGACTATCCAACCTCCTGTATCGAGTAAAAGGTCAGCTATTGTTAAAAGTCTACACTAGCCTGTTGGAAAAACGTTTGGTGATGCGCTCGCATGTGTCAAGTTTTGGAAGTATACAGAAGCATTGATTTGACATTAATAATGAAAATGCTTATCTTGAGGACAGATAGCTTCAAGCCTATATTATTAGATGGTTGAAGGTAACCGATAAGAAACCGTGGACCTAGATTTCATGTCACCAGGGCGTATCTGCAACCACGAAGGAACTTTTGAGATTCGAACCCGTGTCACTCAATAATAATGATAATAATCTACTTTATTCCAAAAACAGTACTTATAATACAGAATGGAATTCTCAGCATTTGTCACAATATTGCATCTGATTTACTCAAAATATAAATAAAATTAAAAATTAAAACAAAATTAACCAGAGGAATTTGTCCACATTTATGATATAAAGTCAAAAATATTCGAAGCACGAATTGAGATTATTAAATATAATAATAATAATAATAGTGAGTTTGTTTCAAACGGTATTGTCGATTCAGTTTGGAAACTTTAGCATGTTATAGATTATTGGGTCTAATGTTCTGTTGATATAGTATAGTGAGGGGAAACACAAAATTAACAGTTATAATACAGTTTAAATTATGTCCACACTTATGAAAAAAAATAAACAAAAATAAAAAATTGAGAGGATTATAAATATAAGAAATACAATAACAATAAAGTTTGATGCTTTAAGGGTGGAAGAAATGGTTTATTTAATAGTGCAAAGAAGGTTAGTTAGTTCATACCTGACACTATTTTCATCACATAAAGCACGTGCTAAATATGGTATAGTGGAATTTTTATACTTAGACGTACGTGCATAAATTCTTCTGAAAAGACTTCTTGTTTTACCTGAGGAGACACTAGGTTGGAGTTGCGGGTAGAGTGGGTGCTCAGAGTCTGACAAAATTCCTTTAGCGAATTTGTTGCATGACATCAACTGCCTATCAGTGACAATGTCAACGATATGGCCCTATGGGATACCACTCGTCCTACTGACTGACAGTCTTCACAGTTCTACGAAGTATGACGTAGTCCTTTTAAAGCAATCCAGGAGAGAATAAGGGTGAACAGTAAAGAAGAATAGGTAAAATACATGAATTGATAAACTGTGAGAGGAGGGGTTGGGTTATGCCGGAGTGCCTCAACTTCTCAATGTAAAAAGTCAGACGAAATGTTTTTTTAGAAATCGCTAAGACAAGGGAGGACAAGGATAGGTCAGAAGAGAGAATTAATCCAAGATACTTAACTTCAGACTGAGTTTCTAAATCAGTATCATCAATTTTGCAAGGGTCATAGGAACCAACAGCTTCATTTAACTTTCGTTTACATCGGAAACTGAAATTGACAGTCTGATATTTGGAAGGATTTAGTTTAAGGCCATTAGACGAAGACCATTTGCTAATTCCTGATAGAAAGCTTCTCATCTTAGTGCAGTCTGGCTGGGAGTTAACAGACATTGAAATAGTTAGATCATCGGCATACTTAACAAAGTTCAGAAACGTTATCACTGAGCTAGCATGACAGCCATTTACAAACTTGACTGATGAAATTCAGTCTGCACCAAACAAAGGACTAGACGCATTACACTAGTTACCAACTAGTTTCCAATCAAAGCCTATGTTAATTAATTGTTTCCAGTCTAATATTTTGTTACTGTCTATTTCCTTGTATTGAACGCGTCGACTGATGAAGGCGTTTCATTACAAGAGTGAATAACACCATGGAAGTCAACAGAGACAAGATAATAACTTGGTGATCATAATTATTTTGGACGGTGAAGAATTTGTCTGTACTGGATGATACTGTGCACACAACTTATGGTTCATAATTATATTGTCAGTTAGAGAACCACTGGAAACCCTGGGAGTACTGGACATCTGTTTCGTTCTAGTTTGAGATTCTACAAGTTTGTCTTGCAACCAGAAAGTCTAAGGTTCGAACCCCAGCGAGTGCATACTTTTGAAGGGAACCAAATTAGGAAGAAACAGATTTGCAGTACTCCTAGGATTTCCAGTGGTTCTCTAACTGATATCAACTCTTCTTCAAACCTGTAAATAGTCAAATCCCTGCAAGCCAATACTTGGTTATGTCATCAGTTGTAACTATGCAACTTCAAAACTCGATTTTTATGGTTCTCATACTTCTTTCCTATGATTCCAATCATTCAAAATGTCTCTCGAAGGTTTGGATAATTCTACTATACTAACATATCATCATCGAACGGAGCCTAAAATAACAGCCAACACTTTTTACTTCAATTGCGTCGACTTTGAAAAGGCTTTCGACAGTGTCGACTGTGAAGCAGTTTGTCAAACATGTATAAAACTCATTCAACAGCTATATGTCATGTGCCAAGAAATTCACAGCGGAAAGCTCGGTGAAGCCTGTGAAGCGAAGAGAATTGGGAGTAAGGCAAAGTCTCCACTACCTCCGATGACTCTTCAGTTTATGGTGGACTGGATCATATAAGAGACTGTATGGAGTGAGTGAGAAGATGGACATATATCAGACCGATGTAGACCCTAGAAGATCTGGATTTCGAGGATGGTCTGTATTTTGTGTCGCACAGAGTCGAAAATTTAGAGGTGAAAACAAGACTTCAAGTGAGCATACAGAAAAAAGAGCATCAGCCGCCATCAATGGAAGAAATCTAAAGGTACTTACTTCTTCCACTTACCTGACTTAGGCAATGTCGTTTTAACTCTACAGGTGTTACGGATGGGAATATCGAAGCCACAGAGAGAATAGGAAAAGCAAGGTAGACAATCATGACTTCAGAGTTGAAAAGCACCTAACACAAGGAAAATTATCTGAGTTTTCAACACTTATGTCATGTCGGTCAGGGTTTCTATATAGTTCAGAGGCTTATTGCATGTGCACGTCACTGAAAGCATTTTCATCGGCCCACTGGAGACTTCCGTTGACACTTACCTTCTCCAGATACTGAAGATCAGATCATCTACAGAAAAGGATAAGCAAGCAAAAAACGAGGTGTCTTGGGACAAATATGCCCGACAAATATGCACAAGGAAATGGAGATAGACTGGAAAAATGCGCTGAGAAGACAGTCAAAGGACATCACACACCGGGCAGGCTGGGAAGCGACGTATTCGACGTCGGTCTATGGGTGATATGAAGGAAATCATGTACAATGAAGACTGTGTGTGGATTCGTGGAGTCAATAGAAAGTGATTACAGACAGCGGAATACAATTAAGGTATATATTAATGAAGCCTTATGTCCTACTCGAAAGGCAAAGAATGAATAGTAATTGAATAATGTTGACTGGGAAAGAAGAAGTTGTGTAGCTACATTCGATATGATTATTAAGAATACATTTTGTTCGAAATATCACCCTGCAAATAATACTTTTTCACTGTGTAATATATATTCTAATATATGAATCACTACAGAATTGAATACCGTGCATGTATTAATTTGGCGATAAAACGGAAAATCTGTATTGCTGTCAATCGACATACTTTCCTGGTCAAGAAGTAAATCACTTCAGTTGATCACAATGAACCGTAGAGAACGCATTTCAGTATCAGATGGATCATTCTGAATGTACACATTCTGTGGAAGTGGTAGAATTCATGGGGGCCATTGAATCGGGTCCCAGTGGCTGAATGGTATACGAGCCAGCTTGCCTTGTACCCGGAAGGTCCTGGGTTCGAACCCCAGTGGGTGCGTACTGTCTATGATTCACTAGGACGAAATAGTTAGCTTCCTTCACTGGTTCTCTAACTGATATCAATCCGTGGTCAAACTCGTAATAATACACATTCTGTGCTTAACAGAGTGTTTCAAATTAATACAAATATACCTCAGTTGGTTAGAGGTAAATTTGATTACATTTTGTACTTTCTACTACCTCGATCAACAAGCAGTATCTTTAAAAAAAGTGTAAGGTGAGTCATTTCTTATCAGAAATTGACGCATATTGTCAGAAAACTAACATTTAGTCATTTGAATAAGTTAATGTTTGAGGAAAGACATTTGTTACGCCTACCTGGTATTGAACATAATTCATACTATTGTATGACTTAGTTTAACAATCCCATTGCATATATAATCGATGGAATTAGATCGATAGTCAAGATTTGACGTTAGCTAGTCAACACTCAGAGAGAAATTTGTACACTTAGAATAATATTGTTTGTAAACAATTTCTGCAGACAGACTGTTGACTGACAGTTGTTCTCTTGACGTGGTTGTCAGACATGTATGTGTCAATAACCAGACAGGTTTCACTAGCCGAGAAGTGGTTAATGTCTAGTTACCACCTTTCTATTCTGAGGAGAGGTTAGTGAAGGTTAGACACACAAAACAGCTGTGCATTCTGACTTACCTCATAAAAGGTCAAAAAGCCTATGGGAAGGTTTTATCTATCCGTGAAACGACGACTTTTCCACTCCGATTCAGTTCGATAATGAAAACTTTAGGACTCCGTCAGTTAGAGATTAACTGTTTGGGGAATTATTTGGGCGCGATTTGGTCCAGTACAGTGAAAACACTGAGACATGTAAAGTTTCCCGAAT